CTGTGAAAGTAAGTTGGCTGTCTGAGACAAGCAGGAACTGACAACCAGAAAGAAATCAACAGAATGGCTGCTAGCACATCACTATCTGAGGTGGATTGCACCTGCCCTGTGTGCTGTGACATATTTAAAGATCCTGTTGTCTTGCTGTGTGGTCACAGCTTCTGTAAGGGCTGTCTTCAGGAGTGGTGGAGACAAAGTAGACTCCAGACATGCCCGGTCTGTAAGGAACTATTTCCAATGGCTCAGGCTCCACGTAATCTGGCACTGAGGAACCTGTCTGACACCTTGAGACAAGGGAGGAGTCAGAGAGTTAACTCAGAAGAGATGTGCAGTCTGCACACTGAGAAGCTCAAGCTCTTCTGTGAGGATGATCAAGAGCTCATCTGTGTGATATGTAGGGATGCACAAAAACATAAGAAACACAACTGCATCCCCATCAATGAAGCAGCAGAGGCCCATAGGGTAAGTAAATCTATAGAGTTTAAACAACTGAGACCAGGCAGATGTGATTCACTGTTTACTGTGTATTTGATCCATACATGTGCCTTTATTTGTAGACCCAACTCAAGGTTAAACTGACGCACTTAAAAAGCAAACTGGGGTCGTATAAAACTGCAAAAGTCAACTGTGATGAATTGGCCAGACACATCAAGGTAAATCCCAGACATAATGGTTGCAGAGTCAGAAAGCACCATGTGTTGTCTACTTTCATCAGGAAAGTGTTTCTCCTCAGCTCCAGGCTCAGCAGACAGAGAAGACAGTCAGAGAGGAGTTTCAGAAGCTTTACCAGTTCCTGTGAGCAGAAGAGGCTTCCAGGATTGATGCAGTGAGGAAAGAGGCGACGCTCAAGAGTGAAGCAATGAACATCAGGATTGTTCATTTGACTGCAGAGATCTCCTCGCTCACCAACAAAATCAAAACCATAAATGAGGAGATGAAGGCTGAGGACATCTCATTTATGCTGGTAGTGCTTGGTGATTCTGATCTTAATATTGAATATTTAACAACATTAGAGGTATTGATTTATTCTGTTTTCTCTTTATCTGACAGAATGTCAAATCCACTATGGAGCGGTAAGTTTCATCTTGTACACTATTAAAGCACAGCTGAATAATAGTCAGCATTTGAAAGTGTGGACTTCATTGCAGAAGCAGGGTGATGGATGCGTCACATAATTGTAAAATATTTGATTGGTAATCTGTGGCTGATTAATATTCTTTCAGATCCCAAAGCAACCTGCGACAACCAGAGACTCCATCAGGAGCTCTGATCAATGAGGCCAAACACATTGGGAACCTGCTGTTCACAGTCTGGGGGAAGATGAAAAATATAATCCAATACAGTAAGCAATGTTGTTTTTGCCTCACCATATTTTGACATCTGCACTGGCATGTACAGAAACCACTGATCACCACAGCACAGCTGGTTAACACTGTAATGCCTTCAGTACAAGCTTTACCTTAATAAACTTTCCATTTTGTTTCTTGTTTTTTCTTTTTCTCTGAAGCCCCTGTAACTCTGGACCCCAACACTAGTGGCTCGCACTTGACTCTATCAGAACAGATGACCCAAAGTTATCAAGAGCTGGAAACCTAGAAAGCATGGTAGCTATTATCTCTGAAGGCTTTAGCTCTGGAAAACACAGCTGGGATGTGGAGGTGGGGGTTTTGGGGCTTTTGGTGGGAAGCAAAATCAAGGATCAAATCTATGGAAAGATCTGGAGCATCTACATTTGTCCTTGCTTTCTCTTTCTGTATGAACGTATTCCAGACAATTATAAGGAAGTTGAATATAAAGATTTATTTCCCTGTAAGGTCAGAGCACAGCTTGATTATGACCAAGGAATACTATCATTTTTAGACCTTGATAGTAAAACACTTGTACACACCATCAAATACACAGAAACAGTCTTTCCGTATTTTTGTGACGTAATAAAAATCCTTCCAGCTGAATTGTCAGTGGGGAGAAGACAACCCAGATAAATATCCTGCATTGCTGCAGGGGTCCAACAACAAGATAAGGCCTTGAAACCTTAAAGATTTACAGTATCACCTACCTTAGCAAATCCTGGACTAATTGATACTTTACATATGTCACTTTTCTTTTCTTTTTTATATATGAGTTTGTTTAATAATTATTAGTTTCATCCTATGATATACTGTAGATATATAAAGTGTAATAATTTGACTTCATCTTCAGCTGTTTTAAGCATAAGCAGGTATAGCTAATGGGCGTATGTATGTTTTAGAGGCAAATAGACTTTTAGAGTTCAATCATCTTTTACTATCATCAGACTAAGACAGTTTTCTTATTTTCATCATGCTTACGTGTTTTGGGGGAGTTTTGCTTATTTGTGGAGGCAAATATGTGATTACTGTATGGGTCATATATATAAAAAATGAAAATGTATATCAAGTCAAATGTATCTTGAGTATGTATCATGTTTCATACATTAATGTATCATGTACCTGATTTTTTTCTTAGAGAGCTGTTGTTGTTATTCAGGTACATGACAGCTTAACTGTTGTATAATGAAGGAAATAATCAAAGTTATCTGATGTTATGTTATCTATGTGGGCCATTATGCAATTAGCATGCACATAGTCAAGGGTTTCTGCAATAATATGGCTGCTCTGATGACTGTCTTTGTGAATGTGGTTGAGAAAGAAAACTGTAAGCAAGCCAAAAACAATTCAAATTAACAAAAATGCAACTCTCAGCCTGTCTGAATGTCTTCATTAGGAATCTGCAGTATTTCCAAAATGCCCCTGTGTGGCTGATATGTCTGCCTACATGCATACATAGCCCAAGGATGATTCATCAGTTATTGTGAGGCAATACAGGGGCTATGGTATAACATTGTAATACCAGCTTGCAGAGCCGTCAGTAAACATGCTAGGAGATTAACTTTGTGGAAGTAGTGCCCTACCATTGAGAGCTATCCTCACTGGTCACATGATCCTCACCTTGTGAGTTGCAGCGGTCCCATAAGAGTCTCCCTCAAAGTTACAGACCAACTTCCTAGTTCATATTCGACCTACCACACTTTCCTGCTATAGTGCAGCAGTTTTCTGCAGTCACAGTTTCCTGTTCATGAAGAATTATTAGTGACAGTATGGCAGCGCTCACTTTCATTTTCACCACTTAATAAAATTAGAGCTAACTTGACTTAACCACCCCCATTAAAAAAAATAAAGTATTTTCCTTTAAGACTTGTTAAAAAGAACCTGAGATGTGTATTAATCACGAGAAGTAATGTCACAGGGAGGAAGTATTGTTTCAAACTTTTTATGTTGTGTTTTAATTGTGCTTTTTTATTGCATGTTTTATACATCGATGACACGTGTTTTACATTGTGTTGATTTTTATGTTGATTGATTTTATTTCATGCTTTTAAGTTGAAAGAGTTTTTGTGTTTTAAATGTACTTCCTGCCTGACACTTGGACCGATTACTTTTTTAACCTGCACCTGGTCAGTTCTGACTTTTGATAGCGCTTTTCAGCTTAATGTTCCTCCCTTACAGAAGTGTGCTCTACAAAGGTGCTATCTGGTCTCTTTGTCTTTTGGTTCCAAAACTGTTCTTCTCACACCACATGTAAATGACAGGTGGAAAATATATTGATCTTTACAAGCTTTGGTTTGAGTATTTGGTCTGAATTAATTTGACAGTCTTTTTTTTACTCATCACGTAAGAAAATTTCACCAAAACCACTAAAACAAAAGCAATCAGATTAGCAGGATAATTTTGCAAAAAGTTTAAATTACTGCCCAAATATACAGCACAATTCCTTCCAATTTACAATGTAAATGTTGTAGGTACAGTGCACTAGTACAGTATGTACCTATCAATACATTTAGGAACGAGAATAAGGGGGAAATGTCAGAACTCATACTAGTAGAATTCATACCTATTCTATAATTTCAGGGTACATTCTGATAATTGCTTAGCATTAAGCTGGACGTTTGGAGGATGATGGGGTAATTAGTTCTGTAACATTTAAAAAATCTGCTTTGATTTATTTCAAAATAATACTAAATACCTACACTGGAGGGTACAGGTAATAACAAAAGGATAGGCAAACTAGATAGTTTCAAAATAACTACAGTGGAAATGTATGTTTTTACACTGGAACAAACAGAGGTCCAAGGAAAAGAGTATTGTCAAGAGCATACTGTAGAGCTATAAGTTACTGTGTATATTGTAAAGTAGGCTACTTACAGTATAGGCTACAACATTGCAGTTCAGTAGCTGGGACTTCAGCAGCTTGAGGTGGTTAATGTGGATTAACACTGTTGTTACACAGAGGGCTGTTCATTGTTGTTTTGGAGTACAGAGAGAGGCTTCTGCAGTAAGATACAGCTGAAGTCCACACAGACAAGGCAGCTGTAAAAGATAACTGATCATTAGTCGTGTTACAGTGTAACTGTCATGAACAGTAAAATACATGAACTACAGTCATTGGAAAAACCTGAGATTTTCACAATATCAAAACAAAAAAAATTATAGACAACCTATGGATTACTTCATAACTTTGAAATTCAAAATGTCTCTACTAACGAAAACCAAAGCAGACCTAATGCAAAAACCACAAGCAAACATTTCTCTTGATACAACATGTTTTGAGAAACGCACGTTTTCTTAACAACAGCAGCCACACGCTAACAAACGATGATAGCGGACGCTCATCTATGACCTGTGTGCAGCTCGTAAGGATGATCACGTTCATGTACGCCGTAATATTAGAATATGGTGGTTAAAAAATACCTTCAGTATAAAGTCTTAAATTTCCACATTGTCACTGTCTAAATCCGTAACTCCACACATCTTATTTCCTTGTAGCTACATGTATTTATCAGTACCTCCTGTGTTGGAACACTGTTGAATTATATTGCAAATTGGGAAGGATTATGCTGTATGCTGCAGCCTAGACCAGATGTTACTATTCACTGCACAGGACAGAACTGCGGACAGGAAGGAAAGCAATCAAACGTCCTCCCCTTTTACACAGAAAACCGGAAGAATTCACTGGCTGTGAGTGCCTAAAGCTACTCGGGCTAATGTATTTGTAAACAATAAAAGGGAGGACAATCGGGTGAAGAGGACCCTTATTTAGGTAACTAAGAATTTACGAGTGTTTATTGAAACCATTTGGAGTTAAAAGTACTGAAACTTACCACTGGCTGGGAAAAATACGAGTGACACTGTGAAAGTGAAAGTAAGTTGGCTGTGTGAGACAAGCAGGAACTGACAACCACCGGAGAAATCAACAGAATGGCTGCTAGCACATCACTATCTGAGGTGGATTGCACCTGCCCTGTGTGCTGTGACATATTTAAAGATCCTGTTGTCTTGCTGTGTGGTCACAGCTTCTGTAAGGGCTGTCTTCAGGAGTGGTGGAGACAAAGTAGACTCCAGACATGCCCGGTCTGTAAGGAACTATTTCCAATGGCTCAGCCTCCACGTAATCTGGCACTGAGGAACCTGTCTGACACCTTGAGACAAGGGAGGAGTCAGAGAGTTAACTCAGAAGAGATGTGCAGTCTGCACACTGAGAAGCTCAAGCTCTTCTGTGAGGATGATCAAGAGCTCATCTGTGTGATATGTAGGGATGCACAAAAACATAAGAAACACAACTGCATCCCCATCAATGAAGCAGCAGAGGCCCATAGGGTAAGTAAATCTATAGAGTTTAAACAACTGAAACCAGGCAGATGTGATTCACTGTTTACTGTGTATTTGATCCATACATGTGCCTTTTTTTGTAGACCCAACTCAAGGTTAAACTGACGCACTTAAAAAGCAAACTGGGGTCGTATAAAACTGCAAAAGTCAACTGTGATGAATTGGCCAGACACATCAAGGTAAATCCCAGACATAATGGTTGCAGAGTCAGAAAGCACCATGTGTTGTCTACTTTCATCAGGAAAGTGTTTCTCCTCAGCTCCAGGCTCAGCAGACAGAGAAGACAGTCAGAGAGGAGTTTCAGAAGCTTTACCAGTTCCTGCGAGCAGAAGAGGCTTCCAGGATTGATGCAGTGAGGAAAGAGGCGACGCTCAAGAGTGAAGCAATGAACATCAGGATTGTTCATTTGACTGCAGAGATCTCCTCGCTCACCAACAAAATCAAAACCATAAATGAGGAGATGAAGGCTGAGGACATCTCATTTATTCTGGTAGTGCTTGGTGATTCTGATCTTAATATTGAATATTTAACAACATTAGAGGTATTGATTTATTCTGTTTTCTCTTTATCTGACAGAATGTCAAATCCACTATGGAGCGGTAAGTTTCATCTGGTACACTATTAAAGCACAGACTTCATTGCAGAAGCAGAGTGATGGATGCGTCACATAATTGTAAAATATTTGATTGGTAATCTGTGGCTGCTTAATATTCTTTCAGATCCCAAAGCAACCTGCGACAACCAGAGACTCCATCAGGAGCTCTGATCAATGAGGCCAAACACATTGGGAACCTGCTGTTCACAGTCTGGGGGAAGATGAAAAATATAATCCAATACAGTAAGCAATGTTGTTTTTGTCTCACCATATTTTGACATCTGCACTGGCATGTACAGAAACCACTGATCACCACAGCACAGCTGTTTAACACTGTAATGCCTTCAGTACAAGCTTTACCTTAATAAACTTTCCATTTTATTTCTTGTTTTTTCTTTTTATCTGAAGCCCCTGTAACTCTGGACCCCAACACTAGTGGCTCGCACTTGACTCTATCAGAACAGATGACCCGTTCAACAAGCAACAACTATTATCCAGAGCCTGGAAACCTAGAAAGCATGCGTAGCTCAGCCATTCTCGGCTCTGAAGGCTTTAGCTCTGGAAAACACAGCTGGGATGTGGAGGTGGGGGGTTTTGGGGCTCTTGGTGTGGCTACTAAAATCAAGGATCAAATCTATGGAAAGATCTGGAGCATCTACATATGTCCTTGCTTTCTCTTTCTGTATGAACGTACTCCAGACAATTATAAGGAAGTTGAATATAAAGATCTATTTCCCTGTAAGGTCAGAGTGCAGCTTGATTATGACCAAGGAATACTATCATTTTTAGACCTTGATAGTAAAACACTTGTACACACCATCAAATACACTTTCACAGAAACAGTCTTTCCGTATTTTTGTGACGTAATAAAAATCCTTCCAGCTGAATTGTCAGTGGGGAGAAGACAACCCAGATAAATATCCTGCATTGCTGCAGGGGTTCAACAACAAGATGAGGCCTTGAAACCTTAAAGATTTACAGTATCACCTACCTTAGCAAATCCTGGACTAATTGACACTTTACATATGTCACTTTTCTTTTCTTTTTTATATATGAGTTTGTTTAATAATTATTAGTTTCATCCTATGATATACTGTAGATATAAAAAGTGTAATAATTTGACTTCATGTTCAGCTGCTTTAAGCATAAGCAGGTATAGCTAATGGGTGTATGTATGTTTTAGAGGCAAATAGACTTTTAGAGTTCAATCATGTAAATATCTTTTACTATCATCAGACTAAGACAGTTTTCTTCTTTTCATCATGCTTACCTGTTTTGGGGGAGTTTTTGCTTATCTGGACAACACACCTGTTGAGGCAAATGTGTGATTATTGTATGGGTCATATATATGAAAATGAAAATGTATATCAAGTCAAATGTATCTTGAGTATGTATCATGTTTCAAACATAAATGTATCATGTACCTGAATTTTTCCTTCAAGAGTTCTTGATGTTCTAGAGCTTAACTGTGTGTAAGTTATCTGATGATATAGCATCCATATTGTGCAATGATCAATCATGCACCCGGGTCCAGGGTTTCTGCAGTAACATGGTTCTTCTGATTTCTGTCAGCAAGGTAAAAACAATTACAATAAACAAAATGCAGCCTGTCTGAATGTCCTCATTAGAAATCTCCAGTATTCCCATAATGCCCCAGTGCGGCTGATGTGTCTGCCGCATAGCACAGGGATGAATCATTATGAGTCAATGCCTAACGTCTCTCCAGTGTACTGCCATCTCTCTCTCTCTCTCTCTCTCTCTCTCTCTCTCTCTCTCTCTCTCTCTGTCTCTCTCTCTCTGTGTGTGTGTGTCTGTTAGCCGCTGACACACTCACACACATGAGTCCGAATCCCCACACTGATACTGAATCTCAGTGGTATTACAGCTGGAATGCCTGCTATGTTTTTTCAACTAATGAAAGAATGAAGAAAAACAAACCAAGGGGGCCAAATTAAAAGAGAAAAAGGATTGAGGGAAGAAAAGGAAATAGAGGGAGAAACGGGCATACAGGCGTCTCTCATTCACTCTGTATTCCTCTGCATGTTTTACATGATGAGTGTTTCTGAGTCCAGTTTTCTCAGGGCTAATGAATCAGAGATTGACTGACAACATTTACTCAAAGGTGGTCATGAGAGGACTTTCCCCCCCGATTACCCAAGATAAATTTCAAACTTTATAAGTCTGTCATTAGAGAAAGCTAGAGGGTCAGCTTAAGTGATTACTCATTAGGCAAAGTATACTTTCCTGGTTTGACATTCAGAATACATGACATTTAAATGTTTTCATACCTCTATCCAAGATTTAATTCAAGAATGTAAGGGAATTTGGCTGCTTGGCATAAATGTGTCATTTTGTGAGTCGAAGTCTTTAGAGGATTCAAAGCTATCAAGTTAAAATTGATCCTTAAGTGTGCTAATTCTAATGCAACTGAGCAAAGACCTGGCAGATTTCACATTTTAGGAATTTTTACTTTTCTCTCCACAAATCATCATTCTCCCTGTATAAACCATTACTTTAGCTCAAAGGAATGACGGTAAACCAGCGTATCCAACGTTTATTGTTTTTTTTCAAAATCCCCTTTGAATGATCAATCATTCAATGTTGACCAGAGAGCACCAAGGAGCCACTGAGCAGAATACATCAGATGTTATTTTACTGAAAGTCCCATTTTTCTACTGAAATAAACACATTAATCAGAGGAATTTCAAAGCGCTGGAAATTGTTTTTGTAACTGTGTGGAAATTAGTTTTGTCCCAAAACTTTACAAAGAGAATCAATCACTTTTAACATCAGTGATTTAAATTTCATGAACTAAAAGGCATTCAAAAGCTATTTGTGTGTTTATACTGTACATGGGTTTAGCATTTTGATGTTTGTGTCGTATATTTTATGTGAGTGTGCTACTCATAAATCACATGTGTGAGTGACAAAGATGCTGAAAATGAATGAATCAGGATAGAGAGATCAAAGGCAGACCAGTGATCAGAGTGACAACACGGCTCTGAACTGCAGCCAAAACAGTAAGCAGATATCAACTTAAGACACAATTATAAAGAATACAGGAGAGACAAACAGAAGGATGGGAGAGATGTGCAAATGGCCCCAAGGTTTGAGACAGAAGATATACAGTAACTGCCTGTCTGGATCAGCACCTATGTAGTCTGACTTGGCTTGGCTTCTGAGGAGAGGACATGTGTGTGTGTTTAGAAAGGATTTGTCAATATCGATGGAGGACTGAAGAGAGGATGGCCGTATGTTTCGGTGAAAACAAGCATAAAATGTAATGAGAATGTAATCCAAAATGAGCATGACATATTGTACAAGCACACCACAATTATTACCTAAATTAGTGCAGTGTACATAATGTATAGATACAAGCGCACATGCATGGAAACACACACGTGCACTTTTATGTGGTTGTTTTTCCATCTGCTCCTTGTTTTCAGGTCCCTTTTGGTCACTTTTTGCTCATGTTATTGTGGTCTGGATATCTTCAAGAAACAGACTCCAAGTATATGATGTTGTCATCTCTCTCTCTCTCTCTCTCTCTCTCTCTCTCTCTCTCTCTCTCTCTCTCTCTCTCCTTCTCTCTCTTCTCTCTCTCTCTCTCTCTCTCTCTCTCTCTCTCGAAGGGTTTATTGTTTTGTTTGGCATTTATGTTGCGTTTGGAGGCAATCATTGAAGAATTTGAGCAGCACGTGTCCTCAGCAATCATAATCATGAAATCCCTACTGGTCTCTCTCATACACACACACACACACACACACACACACACACACACACACACACACACACACACACACACACACACACACACACACACACACACACACACACACACACACACACACACAGGCCTGATTGCTACTCAGTCTGGTCTGTATAATGTTATGGATGCAGATTGAATGTGTCAGTCAGGACCTCACAGGAGGATATTGGGAGAGATGGTTAAGGAAGGAAGGGAGGAAAGAGGAAAGGAAGGAAGGGAAAAAAAAGATTGCTGGTATGAGAAAAATGAGGTTTGATTTTATAGACAGGTTTGACAGTTAAGGAACAGTTCTTATTTTCTGATGAATATCTGTGCATAACAAATTGCTTTGTTAAAGCTCCCTTTTCTCTCTATCTCACACACACGTGCACATACACACACACACACACACACACACACACACACACACACACACACACACACACACACACACACACACACACACACACACCCACACACACACACACACACACACACACACACACACACACACACACACACACACACACACACACACATATATATAGCACTGGCCAGTTTAGATGGTCAAGTGCTGTGATAAAGTGCTGTCTAGTGTTCTCTCACTCTCTAAGCCCCCTGAGAGCGGATCAATACTCACTCAGCATCAAGTTACCGCTAATGTCTTCATGATTTTAACCAGGCAACGTATGTGTATGTGTGTGTGTGTGTGTACATCTGCCCCTGGTGTGACCCAAGTTATAATTATCATTAAATGTCAATGAAGGCAATAGGAAGAGTTATACTCTGCAGATAAATCCCAAAGCCCTGACTCACAGCGCCCCCTAAGGACATTTACTAGAAACTGCAGCTTCAGTAAAGAATGCATTTGCTTGAATTCAGTGAATTCAGTGGTATGAAAAAGCTATGATGTGTGTGAATCACTACTTTTTGACTTGCAACGTGTAACTTTAATGACGAGAAGGCCTCATATACCCTCCATCCATTATCTGCCTCCATCTCACATCTACAATTACGTATGTTGCTTAGTCATACAGGATAGTTAACACATTAATAATATATGTCAGTCCTGCTGAATCAACAGGTATACATTAACTTGAATAGATACTCTAGATAGCGATCAGTGTGGTTAGTGGTTTGCAGGATTTAAAAATGTGTGTATGTGTCACATTCATGCCAGAGCTGATTTAAAGGAACACTCCGTCTATTTTCGTAGTTTTGGACATAGTTTCTATTGGTTATGACAACAATGTGCTCACCAAAGTGTTCACAGAGATCTGGGAATAGCATGAGCAGTCCAATATTATCCAAACCACGTTCTTTGGTGGTAAAACCGATACTGAGCACAGTCAAAATATCAGCAATGATTCATTTTACTGGTAAGCTACAGTACTGTAATTGTGAGTATTGAAAAACAATAAATCTGTCTTCTAAAAATTACATTTTGAAGCAAATGTGATTTCTGCCTGCATTATGTTTGCTGGCAACAGTTTTTCCGGTCCAGGAAGTGTTACAGTCTTGTACCTTGGGTGGATGGCGGGCAACACGGTGCAGGACTTTATAATTGGAAGCCGGGGTTTAGGGGTTTTGGCCACTAAATGTTCTTGGTTAAAGTGAGGGAAACATCATAGTTTGATTCAATATTATAATAGTAAATATAAAATGTTGTGTCTGTTGCTTCAAGTCAGTGATGAATCTTCCAGTAGTAAATCAAGACAATACTCTTTCCCCAACTTTAACCAAGTGAGTATCTAATCATAACGATAAAACAGTTTTATCAGGCTTTGGTTCCTATAATAGTGAATATTGTAGGGAACGCAAATCATTCAGTCAGCGTTTTACAGATATGTTCAGTACATTTTGTAAAATGTCTCCTAATTTTGTTGATAAAATCCTAATCTGTGTGTCTTTTACTCAATGCATTTGCTGTTAGGATATAAATGTATGTAAACAAAATCTGTAAGAGACACAAAGTTGGTCTGTAAACTCAATTTAAGCAATAATTTCAACATTTTTCTCAGTTTTTTCTTCTAAATAAGTGTGACTGCCCTGTAATGTTGATTAAAACCTTTATGAGTGCCCGACTTTTTGATTCTCCTCTCGTGTGACACATTCTGGGTTCTCAGCAGGTAATTTAGCAAGAACATCTAATTGTTACTGATAGGAATGATGACCAAATCTACAAAAATAAAGACCCAGATTGAAAAAAAAAAAGCTAGGAAGAGAAATTGCCACGTGTAAGTATATACAATGCTGAATACAAGAGTGTAGATCGTTATAAGTAAAAGAAAAAAGTGTTTCACCCTATTCCACCCCTCCTTTCTCTCACCTCCACCTCTCTTTATCCATTCCCTCATCTCTCCATCCCAATCAATCTCTCCCTCCCCCCGCACTAATGCACTCTTTCATGTCCTCTCCTATTTCTCCCTCTCTCTGCCGCCCTCTCTCCCTCACCCTGATGTCTCATGGCCCTTTTGTAGGCCCTCTACATTTTTGGGCGTAATGTGATCCCCCCATTTCTCCCCAGGGTGGTCCGCTCCTCTCATTCAAACAACAAGCTTGGGCTGAATGGAGCTGGCGCTGAGAGGGGAGATGGAGAAAGAACAAGCAGGAGGAAGAGGATGGAGAGAAAGTAAGATAATGGGTATGTAAAACAGCCATTAAATCTCATCCTTGTTCATTCATATCTTACACCAACAGGTAAGGTGTGCATACCTAATGCGTCACATCAGGTGAGTGGACCCTATGTGTGTGTGTGTGTGTGTGTGTGTGTGTGTGTGTGTTTGTATCTTACCTGTGCCATCTGTTTGGTCACATCCAGCAGCTGCTACTGTGTTTAGCCTACATAAAGGCTAATTCAGT